AAAAGAACATATATGAAATTACCTGATCGCGAAAAAGTATTTACCCTTTCCAAATATGAACATTTCCCCGTATAAAATAAATAAAATATCCAAAAACTTTTACCTCTACATTATCTATTATACAGTCAAAAGTAGTTAATCCGGACTCGTCGGGACTTTGGCGATTCCGGATTATTAATTTTTCCGGATTATAGATCATCAGTTTAAATCTCGTAAGATGGCATGCAGAAATTCTAAAATTAAAAATATGAAACCGTAATTTATGAAATAAAGAGCAATTATGATCTAAAGGGTATCAAAATTTGCAAAAAGAAAAAGCTTAATATTTATTTGTTTACTTTATTAAACATTTCTTTCAATGTAAGTTGTTTAAGTTTTGCTTCGTTTCATGTGATAATACTTTCTCTTTAATTCTATTGAACAGACATAATTTCTTGTTCAGTTAGAAAGTTCCGCTGTTCAAGTCCTATAATTGCTGTGTTGAGAACACCGACTAATTTGTCAATCCAAATTTTTTCGTTTTCAATAACCTCTGTCACTTTTCTTCGCTATCGGAAGCGAATTATAATGACGAGGAACTTGTTTTAAATCATATCAAAGAGGGAGCATATCGAGATGAAATACTACATTTGGTAAGGAATTATAAGCCAAATAAAATAAAAACATCTGCGCTGAAGATAAGGATAGTGCTGACAGATCAACTTCCAATTCATTATGCGGCCCGCCGCGGCGTTCCCCCCACCGAGCAACATGAAATTGATAAACAGATTTCGGATTTCAAAACATACTTTCGCTTTAGATCCTTTACATATTAACAAATATATATCGGAAATTCTATTTGATATAATCGAAAGTTTAAACTTACTTTTATAAAATTGCTCTTACAGTCTGCAAAAAATAATAAGCCGGAACCAATTCGAAAATTAAGGAACAATGCAATCATCAACATTAACTGAAATAGATAATCATATAATTTTAGCTTATACGTCCATTATACATAAAACGCGCACGCGAAAACGTATTCTGCACTTGCGCACACTCACATGTGCAGTCGTAAAAGGTCTTACGTGCACGAGTAAACGCCTATGCGCATGTGTCAACGCGGCGCATGCGCAGAAAGTTTTTAGTTTTGAGGTCCGGATTATAGATCATTCCGAATTATGGGTGTCCGAATTAACGACTTTTGACTGTATTACAAACGTCACTAACTAATTCATACCGCAAACATTACAAATGGTTACAAATACTTAGTGTCAAATATTTAAATTATTTCCATGCACGTTTACGCAAATTACTTTACTTCCACCTTACATTTAGAACAATGCATAAAAATAATATCCTCAAATAATTAAAAATACTAACTTACCTATTCTTCTTCAGAATCTTGATTACGTGTCCGATAAACTTTTCTTATTTCTGTTTCAGGATCTTTAAAATCATACTTATAGTTCACAGCAAGGTACCAAGTAAAATAAATAACTTAATAAAACATCTTTACTTCTATCTCGCACAACCTTAAAGAAACACTTATTACTACCCCTTTCAATCCCACTAAATATCCATTTCGAATTCACTTTAGTTAGGGCCATGGGATCCAAAAATTAACGAACACTGTTTCACACAACACAGAATAAAGCCAAAATGCTAAACAATAAAAATTTCCAGATTTTTCCCGATTTTTCCCCTTTTCCGATTGAGGAACCGTAATTCGTCCATTAATATCACATGACATATCCCATGATCTCTCATTTCCCTCACACAAAATAATGCATAATCGGAACTGAGTACTGCTCACATTATTACCAAAGTCCCAGGTAGTAACCTTTATCGCCTCCAAAATGTCGCCAAACTACCAGTTACCATATTCTAAAGATCAGCCGAAATTCAATCAGGAAGCTGATTACAGCTTGTTAATGCACAAATATTCTATAACCAATCAGAGAGCTGATTACATCAAGCCTAGAATTAAAATTATTTAAATAATCATAAATAATAAAATCATTTTTTAAAAAAATGCAAAGTTAAATTGTATTTTTATATTTAACAGCCATAAATAACGTTTAAAACATTAGATTAAATTTCTAGATATTAAAACTAATTACTTTTAAAGTAAGGTGACGTCATTGATTACATCATCCACAACATAAAATTTCATAAAACATCATAAACAATAAAATTTTTATTTCATATAAAAATGCAAAATTAAATTGATTTTTAATATTTAGAAGCCATAAATAATATTTAAAACACGGAATTTATGCATAATAAAACACATTATTTTTTAAATAAAATGACAACAAAGTATCGCTTACCATGAATAACTTATCCAGCAATGGGTTTACCATAAGTCGTATTACTCGACAAAAGAAAAATCGCCAAAATCCGTGCAACCGTCTACCAAATTAGTACTGCTTCTAAAACTAAAAAACAAGGTACTTTTCCATTTTGCAGACACAGGCATTAAAGTCGCCAGTAATGGTACAACTGATGCCAAAATAGAATATCCTCGCTAGTAACCGTTTACGCCTCATTTTCAAAACAAGTCGCAACCATTTCTTAACAGATTGATTGTTTCTTTCAATAATAGCATACAGAGAATTTTTACCAGATAGTTCAATTTTATGCCCTAAGGCCATTCGTGGTAATTAATTAGGATGCAATCACACCGCTCACCCAAAGCCGAAAATATAGAAAAGGCAAAGTCAAGGGTAAAATTCTTCAGTTCTAATGAGCGAAGTAAAGCATGGCGGTTTCACATAGTTTACGAGTAAGCTATTCGTATGAATTGCAATAATTCTTGCATTTAAACTTGTATTCCGAATGAAGAGTTGAAATTAATGTAGATAATTACTGAGAGAATTAGATTTTTGTAACGTAGTTTACATGAGATGAGATCACTTGGAGTCACGTGATACGAACCGGCGAATCTGGATGTTGAACCATGAAAGCATAATAAATTCTTAAATTAATGTCTTATTAAATTTTATTCTTTATTTATTGGCCTTTTTACAAAATTTTAAACGATATTAAAATGTTTATGCCTTCAAAATAAAAATTTCTTAGAACTAACATTTGTTATGTGTATACTGTATGCTGTCGCCAATATAGTCTGCTTGGCGAGATTTGTGCCGGTGAAACGGAAAAGTACCAAAACCATACAACTGTCAGAAATGGTTCACTGTGTTACCAATAATACCTATAATGTATGCTAACATCATTATAACCAATACGGATGAATTAATTCAAAACTTTACTAATGAAACCAAACAAAAGAGGGGGGTTTCAGAAGCTATAAAATTTTTGGTTGATCTTTACAATATGGTAACTGGTAGTTTGGCGACATTTTGGAGGCGATAAAGGTTACTACCTGGCACTTTGGTAATAATGTGAGCAGTACTCAGTTCCGATTACGCATTATTTTGTGTGAGGGAAATGAGAGATCATGGGATATGTCATGTGATATTAATGGACGAATTACGGTTCTTTAATCGGAAAAGGGGGGAAATCGGGAAAAAATCTGGAAATTTTGTATTTGGCTTTATTCTGTGTTGTGTGAAACAGTGTTCGTGAATTTTTGGATCCCATGGCCGTAACTAAAGTGAATTCGAAATGGGTATTTATGTATGTATTAATTTAATGTATGTGCTCATTTATATTTTAAGTAGTGTTTTTGAATTTTAATTATATTTTAATTAAATGATAGTTATTTTGTGAATTTTATGTTTGTAGGAATTTGGTATACGTTTTAGTTGAAGTAAACGTGCATGGAAATAATTTAAATATCTGACACTAAGTATTTGTAATGGTTGCGGTATGAATTCGTTGGTGACGTGTATAATGTAATAGATGATTTAGAGGTAAAAGTTTTTGGATATTTTATTTATTTTATATGTGGAAATGTTCATATTTGGAAAGGGTAATATACTTTTTCGCGATCAGGTAATTTCATATATGTTCTTTTTACCAGGGTTTAAAGATTGAGAAAATTGTCATGTATTTTCGTGAAATTTTTCTAATTTATGAGAAAAAAGCAGTGTACATGGATATAGTGAAAGAGTGTGCACAATGCCATTTTTGTGCAATTCTGGGATGTTTTTTTAAGTAAAAATAAGTCAGCGTGTACATGGTTTATGTGTATGTGTTATTTTGAAAAACGCATAAGGAGTATGGTATTGTGCACTTTTTCCCAATTTTGCAGTGAATATTTGTCATGATTAAACAGTTTTTTAGATAAAATTTCTAGCATAAATGTAATTCGGCTAGTAGATTGTTGGAAGAAGTGTTCAGTAGATAAAAAGAAAAGAAACATGTCTTTACTTCGTGAAGACAAAATGGCGGCGGGAAAGAAAAATAGAGGGTTGCTGTAGGAGAGTTGGTCGCCAAATTTTCGCCAAAAAAACGACAAGTTACCATAATGTAAAGATCAACCAAATTTTTCCTTCATAAGTCATATTAAATTCATTAACATATGTACAAAAAATATTACAGTTGATAAGAAATTGTAACTTTTCAAAGTAACAGTTTTATAAATACCGACAACTGATACATGTACGTATATGACAATAACTTGCAGATATCTTGAAGAGCTTAAGCATTTATACTTTAACAGGATTAACAAAGAAAATTAGCCAGAATCAAATATTTTGAAGCATTTAACATTATGATAGCCAATGAAAACTACTGTAAAGTTTTATGAAAATCAATAATACTTTTAAAGCATTTAATTTTTATTAATTTTAATTTGCATACCTTTTAAGAACTGTGTCATCACAATGATTCTGCTTTTATTTGCTCCTATATCACATAACAGAATTTTCTTAATCCTCAAAATTTAAGTTTTTGAATTTTTTTCAAGAATCTCATTACGTTTCTATTTTAATATACTACAGTTTGCCCTATGGTTATATATAATGCACATTTCATAAACTAATATTTATTAGGCAGTTTTTTTTTTTTTTTTTTTTTTTCATTTAAAAAAAGAAAAAGGCCACAAAACTAACCTTCTTCACATCCTTTAGTCAAAATATTAGTATATCGACATAAATCGTCATACTGAGCCACCAACGACATTTTTGGAACTTGAGGGGCCATGATCAATCTAAATAATAAAATAAACACTATGAAACACAAGCAGTCTGTACAACGATAAAAAATATAAAATAGAATATATGGAAAAACAAAAAGATATACTACTATATGAAGTAGTTTACATTATAATAAAGAAAAGGTATTAATTAAAATTTAACTACCAAAATGAAAAAACTGACTGGAAATTAAACTGTGTATAATTATAAACGCCCGCCTACAAATTATCGTTAGCTTGAAAAATTTTTGAACACAAAACACAATAAATGATAATTTTTGAAGTCATTTAAGAATTCCATACAGGAAACATGAAAAGATTAAAAATGATTAAAATCAAAGCCGATATAGATGTACTCGAACAAATATAAGTACAAATGCCATATCCATTCAAATTTCGTTACATTCTAAACAGCAGTTACAGTTAATTTTAAACTGAAGTCTAGCATCGGTGTTGCCATATTCTTACCTTCAAAATATGCGCTAGAAACACCAACAAGTAATTAAGACACAATAACACGCCGAATAAATACTGATTCAGAAGTCAAACAACAAAAATCAGCGTTAATTCACAAAATTTTCACAGGACTAGTTTCGATGGTTTTACCGAACCATCATCTTCAGCTGCAAAACCGCAAATGAACAAGATAGGAAATAATGTTTAGATAAGATAAGAAAGCCTGGACAAGAATAAGCAAGTGGCGCCATCTGTTGGCGAAACCAGAACTAAAACATAATTTCTCTAAAAGCCGAAGGCAAATTTGGATCGGAATTAGGATCGTTAACTAGAACAGAAAGATTTTTATGAATGTGAAATGCCTCTAGAAAAAATCCAGTTCTCCAATGGAAGATGTTTTTTGAATAATTTTGGCAGCAGAAAAATTGAAAGTGTGATTTTCGGACCAACAATGTTGAGCAACAGAAGACTTCTGTGTTTCCTTTTTTCTAACATATGCCTCATGTTCTTTGACGCGAAATTTTAAGGCTCTCTTAGTTTGGCCAATGTAAATTAAACCGCACTGGCAAGGAATCCTATAAATACCCCAGGAATTCATATCCGGAATGGGGTCCTTGAGTATAGAAGTTGGAATTTTATTGATGGGAGAGTAAACAACCCGAAAGTTAAATTTCTGCAAAATATGTGCAACTTTATAGCTAATTGATGGAAAGAAGGGAATGACAACAGAATTTTTATAATCTCCTAAAATAAGAGTGTGGCTTTTAGTGTGTTGAGATGAGAATTTTTTAACTGCTTGATTAATAATGTTGGGTGAAAAGCCCCTGTCAATAGCTATTGCTTTTAAATAATTTAGTTCTTCATCAAGGGCTAGTTTGGAGGAGCAAACTTGAAGAGCACGGAAAACATAGGAATAAAATGAAGCTAACTTTTGTTTAGTCGGATGACATGATTTAAAGTGTGGTGGAAGGCAAACCGATGAAGGTTTACGGTAAACTGTAGTACTGAAGTTGGATGTGTTACGTGTGACCAGAATGTCGAGAAACGGAAACGAATTGCAAGTCTCAAGTTCAAAAGTGAACTGAATAGCAGGATCAATAGAATTCATTGTTGAAAGAACTCTATTTAAATCATCTTTATTACCTTCAAACAGGGTAAAAGTATCGTCTACGTAGCGGAACCATGCCGGGAAGTTTAAAGTTTCAAACAATTTTGATTCATAATAATGCATGTAGATATCAGCCAGGATGGGACTGAGGGGGCTTCCCATGGCTAATCCCTCAGTCCGCTACGTAGACGATACTTTTACCCTGTTTGAAGGTAATAAAGATGATTTAAATAGAGTTCTTTCAACAATGAATTCTATTGATCCTGCTATTCAGCTCACTTTTGAACTTGAGACTTGCAATTCGTTTCCGTTTCTCGACATTCTGGTCACACGTAACACATCCAACTTCAGTACTACAGTTTACCGTAAACCTTCATCGGTTTGCCTTCCACCACACTTTAAATCATGTCATCCGACTAAACAAAAGTTAGCTTCATTTTATTCCTATGTTTTCCGTGCTCTTCAAGTTTTGCTCCTCCAAACTAGCCCTTGATGAAGAACTAAATTATTTAAAAGCAATAGCTATTGACAGGGGCTTTTCACCCAACATTATTAATCAAGCAGTTAAAAAATTCTCATCTCAACACACTAAAAGCCACACTCTTATTTTAGGAGATTATAAAAATTCTGTTGTCATTCCCTTCTTTCCATCAATTAGCTATAAAGTTGCACATATTTTGCAGAAATTTAACTTTCGGGTTGTTTACTCTCCCATCAATAAAATTCCAACTTCTATACTCAAGGACCCCCATTCCGGATATGAATTCCTGGGGTATTTATAGGATTCCTTGCCAGTGCGGTTTAATTTACATTGGCCAAACTAAGAGAGCCTTAAAATTTCGCGTCAAAGAACATGAGGCATATGTTAGAAAAAAGGAAACACAGAAGTCTTCTGTTGCTCAACATTGTTGGTCCGAAAATCACACTTTCAATTTTTCTGCTGCCAAAATTATTCAAAAAACATCTTCCATTGGCGAACTGGATTTTCTAGAGGCATTTCACATTCATAAAAATCTTTCTGTTCTAGTTAACGATCCTAATTCCGATCCAAATTTGCCTTCGGCTTTTAGAGAAATTATGTTTTAGTTCTGGTTTCGCCAACAGATGGCGCCACTTGCTTATTCTTGTCCAGGCTTTCTTATCTTATCTAAACATTATTTCCTATCTTGTTCATTTGCGGTTTTGCAGCTGAAGATGATGGTTCGGTAAAACCATCGAAACTAGTCCTGTGAATTTTGTGAATTAACGCTGATTTTTGTTGTTTGACTTCTGAACCAACAAGTAAACAAATGTTTGAGCAGAAAAGAAGGATAACGAAAGTAACTAAAACTTAAATTTTCTGTATAAACTATGTTGAATCATTTTTGCGCCCCAAGTAGCTGATTTCATTCAAAGGTAAACTAAAATTATTCTTCAAGAATATTTTCTAGTAAAAAATGAAGCGCATTTTATAATTTACAGAGATGGGAGATCATCATTCGTTAAGTGGTGTTTGACGCGAAGGCCTTTAACACTACATGTTTATTATTCCCCGAAGGACCTGTAAAAGTTTGTTAAATTCCATCCTGCCATTTTCCACAGTATCTCTTTCTCGACATTTCCGACCCCTTTTATTAAAAATCACAATACCCTTATTCTGTATTTAATGAAAACATAAGCATGCTTTTACTTATGTCTTTTTGCTGTTTGACTTCTAAATTAATATGCTTTTACTGGTAAAAATAAGCATTGTTCCAGGGACGTAGCTAGAGACAGATAAGGTGGGACATTTGTCTCCGGAAGTAGCGTCCAGTAGCAGTCAAACTCATCTTACAAATTTTTAGAATGAAATATTTTCTCCTCTTGGCGAACAGGAAGGACGCGCGAGATCTTCAGTTCTCCCCGGGCGTTGAAAACCATAGCTACAGCTCAGCATCAATGCAGGATTCACGTATAAGCTACTGTTTAGGGACCCGGCTTTCTTGGAGGCCCCAAAAAACCCTTTAGGTATCCTAAAATCATATTTGGCCGACTATTTAGTTGGCCTTGCTTAGTAGCCGTATGAGCTACTAAGCTATTAAGCCTCTAAATATGGAACCTAGTCTGGACACCGTCAAGATGGAAGAACGGGCCGGGTTTTTTTTTTTTTTTTTTTCTCTATCTATCTACTCGACAAAGAGCGAGTCTCGTGTCATCGTTTCGATCACAACAGATATCGACGTGTCGGAAATGTTTTCGTCAGCTGTGTAGCTGCCGTTTAAATTTCTGATTGTCGTTTAGAGCTAAACTGAAGACAGCGGATGTCACGAATACTTTTTGGAAAAGTAACGTTACGGATATTTTAATAATGTCCATCAGCTGAGAGGCTTTCTAGAACTTTGCACCTACTATAGAAGATTCGTTAAGGACTTTTCTTCCATCGCAAAACCCCCTTCACAAGCTGACAGAGAGCACGCAAATATCCTTTTGGAACAAAGAATGTGAGGATGCATTTAAGAATCTTAAAGAAGCTTTCACATTTGCTTTTATACTGACGTAGCTTCAGTTCGACAGACTATTTATTTCCGATATGGGATGCGACCAATGAAAGCTGATGCTGTTTTGTTCCACGAAATAAATGGCCAAGAACGTGTCGTGGCTTACTGGAGCAAGTGCTTGTCTAAACCGGAAAGGAGTTACTGTGTCACCACGAAAGAGTTGCTCGCCGTACTCAAAGCCGAAGAACATTTCCATCATTATCTATTCCTGCTCCACGAATCATGCATCATTGGCCTAGCTTTTAAATTTCAAGAGTCCTGAGGGTCAAATATCCAGGTGGATACAGACACTCCAGGAATATGATATTATTATCCGTCATCATAAGGGAGCATCACAAGGGATCGCCGACGTCCTGTCTAGAACACTATGCCCAGAAACCTGCCGATATTGTTCCAGGGTTGAAGCGAAATACGAACTGCTGAGACCGGCGCAAGACAAATTACAACATAAGCTGATCAAGACCCATGGAGTGACCAAGAAGTCAGATAAATCCAGCTGGAAGATGGCGACATTAAACCCATAATTGATTTAATGGAGACCTCAAACAGAAAACCTACCTGGCAGGACATTTCGAGCTATAGTCCTGTAACAAAACAATATTAGGCACTCTGGGACTCACTCCACATTCGAAACGGCGTTTTGTACCGGAAATTCGAATCGGATGATGGAAAGAGATTTCGATGGCAGCTGCTACTCCTAAGATCCCAGACGTCCTTAAAGAACTACATAGTAGCTCTCCAGGAGGTCACTTTAAAATAATGAAGATATTACGCTTTGAGTACGAGAACGTTTCTACTGCAGTAACGCAAAGGATGATGTGCAAAAGTGATGCCGATCTTGCGATGCGTGTACGGGTCGAAAAGGACCGAGGAAACGCAGGCGAGATAAGCTTCAACGTTACAACGTAGGAGAGCCTTTTGAACGTATCACCTTTGACATCTTGGAACCTCTGCCACGAAGTACTGAGGACAACAAATACATCCTCGTTGTCATTGATCATTTCACCAAGTGGCCTGAAGCATATCCTAATCCTGAACAAAAGGCTGTCATAGTAGCAGAGGTAATGATACAGCTCTGGATTTCCAGGTTCAAAGTGCCTCTTCAGTTAAGATTCAGTTAGATTGTGACCAGGGAAGAAATTTTACCTCGGATGTAATCAAAGAACTTTGCATGATACTTGGAATTAACAAAACCCAAACGAATCCCTTATATACCCAGTCAGTCGGCATAATGGAGAGGTTCAATCGAACCTCTCATTTGTGGTTTCCAGGAAAAAAAAAAAGAACTGGGACAGGAAGTTACCACTGTTTTTACTGGCTTACCGCAGT